GTAAAAAAAGGTTATGAAAAACTGTCATTTTGGCATCTTAAACAGGCCGTTCAAAATATCGCGAACAAGCGCACGCACCTTACGGCTGAGGAGTCATTGAACCAATACAAGTCATGTAAGGGTCACTCGAACGAAAATAAAGTTTGGAGAGGGGATACGATATTTCTACTTTAAATATATGGGGAGTATTATTTCCTATGGGAGTGTATGAAAGGTTTATTTTCCTTTCAAAAATCGTATGTAAAAGTGAAAGAGTTTAGACTTCGTAGCGGCAGAGCCTTCTGGCATAAAACTTTGTGAAGTAACCATCCCCCCACCCCTCGTCCCGGGGGCAATTTCAACTGCTGTATTCAAGTAATCATTGAGTAGCAAAAGAAAAAAACACCATTTGCTCAAATTTGAGTGATTACCAACACAGTTCTTTCACACCACGTTATTTGGAATAATCGTAACAGTAAGCATACGGAGTCCGTCAGGGGGACCCAACGACCGTTTCCTTTTAAACGCTGTTTTAGGCTATCTGGAGTACTTTTAAAGCTCTGTAGGTTAATTTTAGGTTGCGCTAAAAAATTTATCTGTTCGGTTATTCTAGGGGAACTTAAGTATTCTCGAATTTATCAGGGCTTTTTGTCCATTTCCCGAAAACCTTAGGTATTATCGCCTTTCCGAAAATGATAGCCGACCTTTTTTCGGTACCCAAAACGACATTTTTAACAATCCGAAAACAACAGACATTAAATTTCTCATCTCAGGAAAGTTCGAGGTGACAATTCTCTTCAGAAAATCAGAGGGGATTAAAGGCCTTCCGAACAGATAATTTACCGAAACGATTCGTTGAGTGCCCTGGTCCGTCACCTTGACGAACAACTGTGCAGATTGTTTCACCAATGTACAAAGTTATCGCTGCTGATCAAAAATCCTCAGTTACTTTACTATCAGGTATATTTGCATGGTGCGTACAATTTTTTGAATGGGAAATTGTTAAATTAGTCAGTGGTATTTTTTCCGGCGTTGAGCAGTTTATATAACAGGATGACTGTTATCTCTTGGGTATCACTTTTAAAGCCGTCACCGCAAAAGTATTTCTCATTAGCGCAATAATCGGCAATTACTTTAAAGAATTGATCAGTTTGTTAGTTAAAGGTAATAGCTTTTACACCTTTCCTTTCCAGTCATACGTGTGTGGGCTGAAAAACAATCTAAAACGCCCGCAAAGTCAACTAAAAATATACAAAATAAATTTCAAAATACTGTCGTTTTTCTGTTGAAGTTCCATTGATAAAAGAAGCTTATTATCAGTTCAAAATCTCTTTGGACTATAGCTTAGTGAAATCAATGTGTTTAAGTGGTTTTCAGTACGTTCAATACGTGATTTATTTCCCTACCCCATTAAAAGATAAAAATCTTGCAGCTATGTCGGGTTACGCGCTTTTATGTTCAGAGTTCTTCCTAAATAAATATTTGCATTATTTTACAAGAGTCGTATTAACGGTAATAAAACTTGTTTACACAAGCAAATCACTATTGAAGTTGGATACTTTACTTTGAGGAACAAGGTGTGGTGATCAACAACATGCACTATCAATACGTTGTCAAGGAGACGGGTTACAAAAACAACAAAGATCATCAACTAAGGGATATTTTCTTGATGTACTACCAAGTTCTCAGATCTGACATTAAAAGAAACCTTGAAATTGTTAAGGAGAATTGAACTTTTAAGCTTTTGACTCGAGCAAGACAAAGACTAAGACCTTTAGGTTGTCAAAAGTGCATCTCCTTATTTGTGTCGTCACGCAATGCGAAGAAAACCATCTTAAGTAACGATCGTTACTAAATAGAAGTTTCAGAGTCGATGCTGTAGTAACATTTATTATGTTTAAAACTTAGGTGATTCAAACTTTTACCAGCTACAAACGACTTCTATACAACGCACAGAACATTCCTGTGCCACTGATTTCAAGCGCAAATAAAAACAGTTTTCTTTCTCGTCAGATACACACGAGCTTCGCTATTTCTACACCAGCAAATGGAGTGTAAAAAATATATTGTCTCTTGAGCTCTAAATTCGTGCAAACTAAAGTGATTGTGATACATAAAATCTATCTTGTTATATGACCATCAGGTTTCCAGACAGGAACAAATGACATCGGATTGTTTCTATTCCTCGCGTAAGGAACAGTTTGGAATTGCTTTGTATCGATGCATTCGGTGCAAGCTTTCTTTCTTCTCTTTTTTCAGGATGATTTTCCAGAGTTTTGTCAACTGATACCTTGTTACTACAATGTCAAAGTTGAGCGGGTTGAATATAAACAGAAATCGTTCAAACCAGCAGGCCAGTCTTCTATATCAGGATTTATCCAGTTTCAATCCAATACTTCAAGAAAACAGGACAATTGTTGCTGAAATTTGTAGCGCGCATATCCATGAAGAGTTGAACATCACTCCTAGCACACAACTAAAAGTTACTTGTCACACAGTGGAACAAGGGCCTTTTGGTCGCAATCCTGTTGTTTAGCAAGACGTGTCGTTATGACGATAAGCTGACGTAATAGCTTGTGGTGTACGAGTAGTTATCTGATTGGCTTACAGGACTCGGCAACTCTTCGGGTGTTTTCACGAGGATTTACGAAAAAAACGGCGCTTGTTCCCTGGACTGCTTTACTTACAAATCTTCCAGCTCTGCCTTAGTGTCATCTTCGTTTGTCTTTCATGGCTTTTTTGCTTGCTTCCCGTCGCCTTTTATTGATGGGATTTCGTGGATCAAATATTTCAAACGTGTCTTCGTCTTCGATGTAAGCATCCCTGGCCAGTTTTTGTTGAGTTTCGCATCGCAGAGAGTGAGTCATCCTGAAGAAAAAGAACACAATCAACAGTTACAGCAAATGTGATAACATCTAACCAATCACAAGCGGCTTCACGAACCAATCATATCGCGACAAAACTGACCAATCAGATCACGCTACAATCAGAAACCAAACAATACCACCTGACAAACTGTTTCTAACTTAACAGTGAGTCAGATATCTAGAGGCCCAGAGTTTTCTTTTAGCCTGAAAATTTTAAGACCTGGAAAGCACAGGAAATATATTGTCTCCGTCCCCACTGGAGCTGGAAAAGGAAAAGGAAATAGACAACAAAAGGAGCTCGTTCATTTCACTCCTTTCGCCAACGCCAACCTGAGCGAACATGGCTCAGATTTCGAAATACTGAATGACAATCCCGGATTCAAACTATTCACTACGTAAATGCAAATTCTTCCTTCATCTCCCCTGTCCTACAATTAATCATAACTTGGCTGGAGGCTAACTCGAAAACGGTTCATTCAGCCTCCAGTCTCACTGAAACAAGATTACAATAGTCACCTTATATGTAATATGCGACGTATATCAGAAACGCGTATACTAAAAAATGTAAAATATTCATATTTGTATTGAGGAAATACAGATGTTGCTGTTGTTGTTGTTGCGTCGCGGACCAACAATCTTCAAAAAAGGTCAGTTTTGTGTCTTGGTCTTTCCGAATCCTAAGTAACGATCCTTGTGTATTTTCGGCAGCTATTTTCGGCTTATTCCAACGTCTTTGTTGTTGTTGTTGTTGTTGTTGTTGTTATTGTTGCTGTGTTGTTTACCTGAGACAATTATCATTTTGAGGATCTTTTTGCCTTCAAAGTGATAATTTTGTAGATAAGTTACATGACATTAATATTTTGTGACATGGTTTCTTGTTTCTTACCATCCTGTGTCATCATCTTCGTTTTCTGCTTCGTTATCATCGATTTCTTCTTCCTCAATTTCCTCAGACCCATTCAGTTTGGTTTGAAAAGACGCCAACAGCGCGAGGGTCTGCATGAAAGAAAAATAAGAAGCAAATAACACTGCTGACTGGAACTAATACCAAAAAACGAACAAACTAAACAGTGAATCAAGGCCTTTATGAAGCACAAACGTATTTGTACATAATCATTTTGTAGGCAGTAAGAACTTCACTCTGTTGATCATATTGTAGGACATGTAAGAATTTTATTGTAGCTGGAATATTGTACTGTAAGTACAACGTATTTTAAGTATTGCGAGGAACGGTATGTTCTGCAAGTCATGTAAGTACTTATTGTAGGTAGAGTACTGTATTGTTAGTAGTAGTGTAAGTAGCCGGTAATGGAAGTAATTGTATTTTCTGCGAGTAATGCCAGTAACCAATTGTAAGTAGAGTGTTGTATTGCCAGCGTAAGTTTAACAAACTGACGTCAGTTTTTCATGCGTCTGTCCTGTTATTGATCATAAATTTCGTCATAACATTGTCAAAGTAGCTGTGGATCCACGAGGCGATAGCCGACTGGATACGCAGACTACTTTGACAATGTTATGACGAAATTCATTAGCTTTCATTGTCAATAACAGGACAGACGCATTAAAACTAACTTCAATTTGTTTTTTACGATAACAGTTCGTTCTCACTCGTTGACACATCGAATGAATTATACATTCATGTGTCTGTCCGCTTATTGACAATACAGATTTGCCAATGAGCGCGCAAGAAATTCTGCAGTTATCGTAAAAAAACCCTATTGTATGTGTCGGATGGTGGCTAACGTAAGCGTTGTGTTACGGTCACGCGCGGTTATATGGAAAGCATTACGTGACAAGACAAGAACCATTGTCTACCTGTTCATCTCTCCCTTCTCCTTTTCTCTTTTGACTCGTTTTCTTCTTCTCAAGATAAATCTTTTGTTCAGCATGAAATGCGGCCAGGACATCGGATTCTTTTGACTCTGGTCATCAACAAAAAAAGAAAGAATAAGAAACAAAAATTACAAAGTGCAATGCTCTTTCCCAGCGGAAGAACTTCTTTCTCAGTAACCTGCTTCAAGGTAAATGATTTGGCCCTGTAAGATGAAAGTAGTTTATATATTCTGACAAAACCACAAAACCACCATTGAAATGGAGTAAGCTGTCACAGCACACAAAACTCAGTTTTTGTACCTCAAATAGCATGAAATTTGCGTTCAAAAACTGCTATAGATGACATGGATTTTTGATTTGATTTATTTCTGTTTGCGTTTCTTTCACTTGGTTTTGTTCTGTTTTTATTTTCTTTTTTGCTCTTATTTGGGTACTGCCTTATATCAATTCCTACGTCACAAACCACAAATTTCCTCATTTTTTTATTGGCTACTTTTGTCGGTTACTCTTTGCAAAAGCAATTACGAAATAAAGTTCTAAAACAGAAATTATGAAAAAGAAAAATGAAAAAGTCAACTGCACTGGCCGGGAATCGAACCCGGGCCTCCCGCGTGGCAGGCGAGAATTCTACCACTGAACCACCAGTGCTCAACTTACATACACTATGATCTGAACAGTAGCCATATTTATGACGGACACATGTAACAATAGGTTCCTTTTTTGAGTGTTCCAGACTTTCTATATCTCATATTTCACCACACAAATTGGATTCCAATAGGGCAAAAGGCCGTACATTTCACGTTTGTCAATACGGACGCGAATGCAGAAAGACCTGACGCTTTCTCTTCAAAAATCAACTGTCAGTGGACGCTAAGGTGAAAGTCGTTGTAGAATAAATTTAATAGTCACAGTCAAAGCCCAATATTTCAATATTGACGGGCTTCGACTGCGGCTGTCAAATTTATTCTAAAACGGCTTAAGCGGCCCAGTATAAAACAAACAAAAACAGCCTGATTAAATAAACCAAAAGAGAAATGAAAAGTGTATTTCGTTTGCAGAGTTTTGCCAGAATTTACCGAAACATAAAGAGTAGAAAAGAACATTCAAAGAAAAATCTTTTTGATCAAAATGTAAATTTTTGTGTTTTTGTAATATTCGCCACGTTATTTTATTTTATCTAATTTTTTTTTTTGGGGGCTTCAAGTTAAATTCTATTTTGATATCTCGTTGGTTTTTCAAACTTAAAGAGAATATCAAATGACCAACCACAAAACGTAGAATTTACAAATTCTCCAACAATTTGAGAAAAAAAAAAAAACTACCAACATAAAGATGTCACTCAACATGAATCACATAGTTCATCCACTAACTAGACCGCAAGGTGAGATAAACTGTAAAATTGCTAGTTTGAAGCGACCTAGAATGAAATTTCTCCTGTCCTTATGAGCTCTGATCCTCTCCAATGCAGTGTTACAAACTCTTCCATGGGAGGGGGGTGGGTGGACGGGGGTACTCCCAGAAAAGTTGGGCAGGAGTAGGCGGCCCGCTTCCCAAAACCCTTACCCTATTTATGACCAAAATCTGCGATTTTCACTACCCTATCTATGACCTGGCCAAAAATTCAATACCTTATTTATGACCTTTGTGGCTGGCACAGTTACCCTAAACATAAGTTATGGAGGGCTTTTGTTGACGGTGTTATTGATAATGATGAAAAAGTAGCTTCGTCTAAGAAACATACCCAATTCAAGACTAGAGTGCTAAAACCATACCCTATTTAAGACCGAAATGGCCAAAATCGATACCCTATTTATGACCAAAACGGCTTAAAAACCCTACCCTTTGGGGTTGCACATACCTATATAGCCCATATAAGGGAGTACCCCCCCCCCCCAGGGAAACTCTATTTGCATGTCATTTTTATGTGTATACACCCTTGCTTTTTATTCTAAGTTTATATGTTTTATTAGTTCTTATTCGAATATCAGGCTGAAATTTGAGAAATTTTAAGAATAAAATGGGGGTTGAGATTTTGAAAAGAATACTAACTTTTTTGTGTTAAAAATAGGTAAAATAAAATACAGTACAATTATAAGCTCTTCACTAAACCGTATAAAATTCTTCCTTTCCCTAAATGGCAAAACAAGCCAAAAAAACAACAAAAACAGCGCTAGTCGTATGTTCGATACTGATAACATTTCTGCAAAAAGTCATGTGCGTCATATCAGGCTTTGACACCTACAGACTGGCCCCAAAATTACTTTAACACCATCCAGACACCAAATACATTCGAAAACAGAAATGTTGTAGTATAATCAAAGAATATTCACAAGAATATTTTCAGCCTAAAATCAGCAGAAAAATAAGAATATTCAGCCTTGCCTGATTCTTTTTAAAAAGGCGTGTAGTTTCCATGTTCCCCTTGCTTTGTTATAATGACACTTAAACACTCCTCAACCCTGTAACGTACTACTCAAACCGGTGCGTAAGCTGCCTATAATAAACTATTCTATTGCAAAAACAGCGTCACTAGCTTGAGGAACAAGTGACTTAGCTAGTAGTTCCGCGCAACAGTGGAGACACGCGCGAGACGCGACGCGCGTTTCGTGCTCGTCTCGAGCTTCCTTGAGAAATAGTCCTCAAACCGTATTCAACTCTGTATTGATAAATTCAAATGGTTTTTACCTGAGGATGTCTTCTCTTTTTCGTCTTTCTTTGTTTTTGTCTCCATCATCTCTCGCTTAAGGCGTTTATATTCGGCACGGGCAGAAGGGATCTTGGATCCAGAATCTTCTTGCTGCTTGCTAAAGGAAAACAAATTGCAATGTCGCTCAGGCTTTATAATAGTCTAAGGAGCAAATAATACACTCATATCAAGACCTTATCACACAGAAGCCTTGTGGTTTGTCTAAGGACTACTGGCAACTAATTTGGCATACATTTTTATTTTTATTTTTTTAAATTTTCATTGTGATCTATAACATTATTTTGAGGTGCAAGAACACAAAAAAATGCACAGATGTTCACTGGATGGCTACAAATAATCTTATACTCAGGACCGGATTGTTTGAAAGCCGGTTAACGTTAACCCAGGATTAAAAGTTACGTGGGGTATTAATTTTTCTTGTGTAAAAATGTTTTTCACTGCTTTTGTTTTGTGTAGTTTGAGACTATTCAAACTCAAAGTTGAAGGACAAACAATATAAAGTGAAAACCTAATCGAGAAGTTACAAAAATGAAATTGTAAGTCTCGCTAATCCTGGGTATCTTAATCGGACTTTGAACAACCCGGCCCAGAGCTTCATCTATCATTGCAGACTGGCTGCAAATGAGTGAATGGATCTGCTGCTGATAATCCATAGCAATGTACCAAAGGTGCAGAGTTTAAGTCTTGTACCAGGAAGAGGGGGGATATGGGGGGA